TTTTTTGCAGGCGAGATTACAACATAAAATAATATTGTAATTCATGCACTAGGTCTCAAAGCATGTCGTGCGCAAGCTTGCGCGCGGCGCGGCAAGGCAGGGTGCCAAATGGTGAGCGTCTATTAGGCTCCTGTCCACCCTCCTATCCTGCCACCTCGAATCCAAGATGCCGATTCCAGGGGGAATTGCAAGTCTCAGGCGTCGGACAACAGCGAGAGGTTGATTGTTATTACATGAATACAGAGCATACGACTACAGGAACTAGAAGGTAACAGCACATCGAAAGCATGCAAATCTCGAAAGCACAAACTCGTGCGATCAGACTACTTTTTTTTTACGGGTCGTACTGCAAAACGGCAATCAAAAAACATCAGCACACGCCCCGTTTCCAAGCAGCAAAAAAAAAGCCAGAAACTCACCACGAGCGTCATCGACGCCGGCCAGTACGTCACGTTCCCGGTCGCGTCGAGGTACACGGGGCTCTGGGTGCCGTACGTGTCGAGCGTGAAGCCCGCGAGGCGGCCGGGCGCGCCCTCGGCGCGGCGCAGGTTCTTGAGCCGGAAGACGGCCTTGACGATCTCCGGCACGGTCACCTCCGAGAACTCGATGCCGAAGCACTGGTGGAAGCCCGGCGCGCCCTGGAGGTGGTACGAGTCGGCCGGGCGGCGCGGGTTGACCGCGTGCGGGTCCGGGAAGTCGGTCGGCTGGGAGGGCGCGCCCCAACGTCAGCGGGGATGACGGAGGAGGAGGGAAAGGAGGGGAGGAAGGAAACGTACGTTCAGGTGCGCGTTCTTCACGCTCAGGAAGACGACGTCGCCCGGCTGGACGGCGACGCTCTTGCTCGCGCCGAGGGGGACCGTGCCGGGCCTCTTCACGGTGCGCACGAGGCTCGACACCTGCGGCCGGAGTCCTGCACAAAGAGAAGCGCGCGCGGTCAGCCTTCGCAGAGTCCGTCCGACCCCAACGCATCCACCACCACTCACGTTGCGCCTCGTGTATGTACCCGCGCAGCAACGCCTGCTGCGCGGGGTCGCTGCTGTCCGCTTGCGCGAGGCGCGCGAGCTCGGCGCGCTCGGCCGCGCGCGCGTCGTCCATGTAGAAGTCGACGACCTGGGCGACGCTCTGCGCGACCGTCATCGAGCTCGCCATCGAGAGGCCGAGCACCTGCGCAACGGCCTCGCGCACGGGCCGGCCGCGGCCGGTCGCGTGCAGGCGCTCGAGGAAGGCGTGGTACGGCTTCTGCGTCTCCGCGGGCCAGATGAGGCTCGAGACGGCGCCGAGCAGCTGCGCGACGGGGTGCTGCTGCAGGCACAAGAGAGGCTGTCAGCACCGATATTTGTGCAATTGAGCAGATACACAGGGCTTACCGCGGGCGCGACGTCGTTGAGGTTCTGGGTGATGATCTGCTGGAGGGCCTGCGCGACGGGGAGCGAGGTGTGCTGGAGCGTCCACGAGTGCTCGGGGACGATGTTCATCGTGCAGCACGTGAAGATGAGCGCGAGCATGTCGTATAGCTCCTGCTCCGCGAACAGGCCGTGCGGCTCCGCCTTGGTCTTGAGCGGGATGCCCATCTTGACCGCGAAAACCGAAAACTCGTCAGCACAAACACAGCGGGCCGTGGAGAGGAAAGGAAAATGCTGACCAGGTAGTTCGCGACCCAGCGCACGCTGACGAGGTTGATGATGTTCCCGACGACGTCGAGGCGCGTGCCGGGCGCGCCGTCCATGGTGTACGAGTAGTCCTTGATGAGGCCCTCGGTGAGGCCCCTGTATATCTTCGCGTACTCATGGAGCGACTCCCGGCCCTTGGGGAACATCGCGTGCGCCGCCCACGCGCGGTCCTTGTCGTGCCTGCCAACCAACCCACCGTCAGCACCCGCCCTCTCCCCTTGGGAAAAAAACCAGCCCAAAAACTCACTGCTCGCGCCCGTCAAAACACAAAAAGAACCCATACTTCTCCGTGAGGCGCGTCATATCCGGCCCGTACGTCACCCCAAACGTCTCGGGGCTCGCAAGGACGTGCCGGAGGCCCTCGAGCGTGTCGACGACGGTCGGCACCGCGAGCGGGCGCGGGCGCTTGCCGTCCGTGTCCGTGTACTCGTGCAGGGTGCCGAGCCGCGCGAGGTTCGCGCGCATCGCGGCGGGCGTGTAGAACGGGAAGAGCGCGTACACGCTCGTGCCCGGGTAGTGGCGCGGGAGGTGGCGCATGAGCAGCCGCGGCAGCGCCGCGCCGTACGCGCCGTTGTTCGGGTCGCGCGCAGAGTCCTGGAAGCCCCACGTCGTGAGGTTCGCCGCTGGTGTGTCACACACGCGCTTGTCAGCGATGACGCGAAAAACACGAGAGTGCGGGGAAAGCGGACGACTCACGCGTGTAGTCTGTCGTGTAGAACCGGTCTCCGCGCACGAGCGCGACCGCATCGCCCAAGATCGCCCGGGTCATCGTGTACCCGCAACATATGCCCGAGCCGGGGCCCAGCGGCATCGTCGCCTCGGCCTGGATGCCGGGGTACAGCTCGAGGTTGTCGATGTGCCCGTAGAGCTGCCGCGCCGCACCGGCGACGGCCGGGTCCGGGTTCCAGTCCTCAAAGTCCTTGAAGCGCCGCAGGCCGAGGAACGCGCGGAACTCGTTCATCGAGCACACGCCCCACGCGCGGCCCTGCGCGATCGCCATCGCCTCGACGACGCGGAAGACGGGCGGCGAGCCGCGCGCGCGGTACGCGCCTGCGACGGCCTCGGTCGCGCCCTGCAGCACGTTCGCGAGGTCGTCGTCCGCGAAGGTGCCGTCTGCGCCGCGCTTGAGCCTGCGCGCGCGGCGTCAGTTGTAAGGCACGAACGGGGAGAGAAGGGGAAAGGGGGCGCACCCGCCGAACGTGCGCGTGCGCGGATTCGGGTCGACGAGGGTGGCCCACTCGCGGCCGAGCGAGGCGCCAAAGTCGCTGAGCTGCAGCGTCGCGGGGTCCTTGCCGGGGAAGACGCGCGCGAAGAGGTCTTCGGTCCACTTGATGTCCTTCTGCGCCGTCACGGCGTGCCACTGTGTGCGGCTGCTGCGTCAGCCAAAAAATAGAACACGCGAGGAGCGTGCTGGAGAAGACACGCACGCGGTACAGCAGGTTGAACTCGACCGAGACGTGGTTGCCCTCGCCGCGCCCGACGACTTCGCCGTTCGCGCCTGTGATGGGCTAGCAATCGCCGTTAGTGAGGCCCATAGGCACCGATTCGGGAGGAGAACACGCACGTCAAAGGGGTTCATGCTCCAGCCGAGCCCGTCGCGCGGCAGGCCGAGGAAGCCGCCGACGTAGTCGCCAAAGATCATCGACATAAAGTGGCCGCAGCTAGAAACACACGCATATCGTTAGCATGCAGGTCCTACAAGTCAAAGCGCAGCCCCTCCGCCCATCACTCGGAAGCCACACGCCACGCGCCGCAGCCGATCGCATGCGGGTGCAAACGCGGACCCACAACGCGGGAGCAGAGGCCACAGCAACGAAAAGGAAAGAGAGGACACGCACTTGACGAGCCGCGCGACCTGGAAGATCTCCTCGTCCTGCTGCGCGCGCTTCGCAGGGTCGCTCGGCGGCGGGTCCGTCCACCGTCCGCGCTCGTTGATCTTGAGGAGCATGTTCGCGACGTACTGTCCTCCTCCTCCATCAGCCCTCCTCCCCCTCAGAAAAATTAAAACCGCAACGCACGTTGTGATTCCGACTAAAGACGACGAGCAGCGCGCTCGCGGCGGGCGGGACGAGCACGAGGCGGTCCTCGGCGAAGGCGTCGGGCCAGAGGAGCCCGCGGCCGGCGGCCTTGTCGCGCACGAGGTCCTGCTCGGCCTGGTTCGTGCCGTAGAGCGGCGAGAGGTCGAGGTAGGACGTCGTGTTGTTCACCGTCGGGTCTGTCGGGGCCGTGCGGAAGAGGCTGTGGGTCACGAGGGACGCGAACGCGAACGTCAGCGACGAGTTCGCGCCCGGGTGCGGCACGAACTGCGCGGGTCTCGTCAGTAAACCAACGAGAGGACACGGAGGAGAGGGGACACGCACGTCGCCGCGCGAGCGCAGGAGCACGTCGAACACGAGCCCGGGGTCGGGCATCACGTTCGCGGGCAGCGGCCGCTGGTTCTCGACGTCGCGCGCGTACGGCCGGCCGGCCTGGCCGAGCGCCGGTCTCCAGACGTTGTTCCCGCTGCCGTCGGCGCTGCGGAACGCCCAGGGCGCGCGCGGCGGTGGGGGCGGCGACGGTTGCTGCTGCTGTGATGGTTGTTGCTGCTGCTGTTGCGTGCCCGCGGCGGGCACGGCGTTCACCTCGGACCAGGGCACGGCGCCGGACGGGTCGGAGCCGATGTACATCGCGGGCGGGTGCGGGAGGGAGTTGTAGAGGAGGGCGATGACCTTGTCGTTCGCGGTCTTGGCGAGCGCGCCGTCCTGGGGAAGCTTGCAGAGCGCGCTGAGGAGGTCGACGAAGAAGCCGTCGCGGTCGTCGATCGCGTCGGGGTTCTCGAGTGTCTGCAGGGCTGCTTTCTGCGGGGTGGTGCGCGTGCGTGGGCATGGGGAGAAGATACGACAGCGGGGACGTGGACACTCACCACAAAGGTTTCGGGATCGCTGACGAGCGGGCCCTGGCCGATCTGCGCTTGCAGCTTCTGGACGAGGATGGTCAGCGGGGAGTGGGTCGCCTTGTCGGCGGCGGTGGGCCCCGGCGGCGGGGCGGTCTGCTTGGGCTGGACCTGATAGGGATACCTGCCATCGGGGGCATTCGGCGGGGGCCTGACGGCGAGCTCGACGAGATCGGTGGCGGCCTGGGGAGACAGGTAAGGACAGGGAAGACATGGAGAGCACTGCGACGCACCAGAAAGTTGGAGATGGCGTCCCTAATCATGGCTTAGCGAGACGGCCGTGGGCAAGATAGCGGGGGTGGCCTGCTGGCGCCATGTCGGGAGAGATTAAGTAGGGGGCGTGGCCGGACGGCGTGGCTCGCCATGCTTTCTCGCACACTGCATCCAAAGTGGCGCTGGGAACATCAACACGTCAGGATCGAGGGACGTCGACGGGCACTGCTCAACACCGATGGCCTGGCGCCGTCGGTCGTCGTTTCCAGCCGGCCGTACCTGTGCCTGCTTTGTTCTTTGGCCGCTGGCGGCGCGCTGCGCTGCGTGTCGCGCACGTCGGGGCGGTTGAGCTCGCCTGCGGGTACGCGGGCGACCCCGTACACGAAATCTTCGCCCTACTTTAGTGCAAGCTGTCAGGACGTGTCGGCTGAGAGGTCTCATGTTTCCGTCTGGATTCGTCCAGGCAGGGAAGACGCGGGTAAGGTTCAATATGCCCAATTCAGACGGACGAGCCGGCCACATGCCTCCGCGCTGATGGCACTCCGAGCGCCTCTTCCACGTGGCACTACCCGGGGTTAACCAAGGCAGGACCGAGACTAGTTCGACTTGGCCTACACCTGAGCTCGCCCGCTAGCGAGGTCGCACCACTACCTTGGACATAGGCTGCGCAGGTCGTCTACCGTGCCGTCACCTATGCTTCGCATCGCCAGTGCTAGTACGCCCGACTTCCACGCATCACTGATGTCTGCTGTGCTCGGCAAATGCAGGGTCGCCGCCGAGGGAGAAGGCGCATTCGTCATTGGTATTTCACTGCAAAGCTAGCAATGTCTCGGACCCAATTGTTCGTCGGCCTCCGTCTCGAAATCCGCGCATCTTCGGCGAGGTCAGTCTCGTTCTCAGTGTGTGCTAATTGAGTGCTCCAAGCCTTGCCGTCCTTTTTGTCGCCAGGTGAAGATGCAGGCTGCAAGTCGCCAGCGGCTCTCCCCGAGAGCATCACCAGGTGCTGCAGCGCACACACAAGCAAGCGCCATACTGCTGACACGGCTCTCGCCAAGAGACGTCAGCGCCGCCACCACAAGGCTTCACCGCACACCAAAGCGCCACACCACGGCGTCGTCGGCTGCGCTTGCGCCACGACGGACGCATGCGCCAACACGGAAAGAGGCTATCAACCTTCCAAACTGGGCTCTCAACAGACTAACCTTGACAGCTGTCATGCTTGGCCTGCAGCTTCCCTGACCCTGTCTAAGGGTGTGCGCATATAGACCCCCGACGCTCGGTCATGTTCGCTTTCCGTTCTTTCCCGCCCCCCACTTCCAACTCCCTGCGAGCACGCATCACGCTCACTACGACGGTGAGGCTCCCGGCGCGACGACGATCGCAAAAACGACAACTATAACGCCAATCACGACTGCGACGACGATGCCAGTCCCGACGTCCGACGCCGCGAACCCGTTCTCGGCCGGCAGCGCGACCGCTTGCGAGTCTCCGGTCGGCTCTCCGACATCTGGTGCGTTTTCGCCCCAAGACGCGGGCCTCGCCGCGTCCCCGTCGTGTATCCCGCCTGCACACCCAGCTAGGACGCTCGTGTTGTGCTTTGACGGGACGGGTGACCAGTTCGACGCGGACGTACGTTGTGCGTTGTCTTATTGTTTTTTGGCGGAATTTGACGCGCGGTCTAGAACTCGAACGTGGTGCAATTCTTCTCAATGTTGAAGAAGGACGACCGCAGGCAGCAGATGGTGTACTACCAGGTGCGGTGCTCATCCCTCATGCATTCTGCGTGTGGTTAAAACAAGACCTCGTACAGGCAGGAATCGGCACTTACGTGACACCTCAAATCGCGACACCCTTCGCATCCAAGATCTCCAAGACCCTCGACGAGATGATTGCCTGGAATCTCGACGCGCATGTGATGGGTAAGTGAGTCTTGGCTTGAGGCGGTGGTGCCACGATTAACATTTGCCTGTTGTTTCAGGAGGATACGAGTTTCTAATGCAGAACTGTACGGCCTTGGCTATCGTCCTTGGTTGGCAAAATTCCTGATTGCTTTCGTAGACGAAGCAGGCGATAAGATATGCATATTCGGCTTCTCTCGCGGCGCATACACCGCCCGTGCGCTCGCCGGCATGATCCACAAGGTCGGCCTACTCCCTACGTGCAATCATCAGCAAGTCCCGTTCGCATACAAGATGTACACTCGCACTACGCCGCTCGGCTGGGCGCAGAGCACGCTGTTCAAGAAGGCCTTCTCGATGGACGTCGACATCGAATTCATCGGCGTTTGGGACACGGTGTGCTCGGTCGGGCTCTTCTCGCGCCGCCTTCCGTTCACGACGAGCAACATGTCCGTGAAGACATTCAGGCATGCTGTTAGCCTCGATGAGCGGCGCGCAAAGTTCAAGGCGAATCTGTTCAACTGGCCACAGGAGGAAGAGAGGCGGCTCGGTACCCAGCCGGGAGATATGCCCAAAGCCGGCCAGAACGAGGACCAGGTCCATCTTAGCGGTTTCAATGAGTCCAAGCCTGCGGCCACCGCCGCCGACAAGAAGGACGACAAGACGAAGAAAAGCTCGGTCTTGTCCAAGTTCTCGAACATGTCGCGGCACAACTCCGTGGACGACAGGCAGCGCCAGAGGGAGATGGAACGTCAGTTCTCCGAGCAGGAGCGGCGCGCGCTCGAGACGGACGTCCTGGAGGTCTGGTTCGCGGGATGCCACTGCGGTGCGTTATCGAAACTTTTCGTCCCACGGGGCTCATTCTCATGCACTTCCACAGACGTCGGCGGTGGGTCCGTGTCGAACGACACGCGGCACAGCCTGGCGCGCATCCCGCTGCGGTGGATGGTGCGCCAGTGCTTCATGGCGAACACTGGCATCCGGTTCCACGCCGAGCTCCTGCGCGGCATCGGCCTCGACCCCGCGGTCCTCTACCCTGTCGTGCACGACCGCTCCGAAGCACTCTACTACACACCAAGCGCGCCCGTGCCCGACGGCACCACCGACGCGCGCCTAAGCGAAGAGGAAGAGGACCTCGCGGACGCACTGAGCCCAGTATATGACCAGCTTGCACTCGCGCGCAGCTGGTGGGTGCTCGAGCTGCTGCCGATGCGCCACCGCGTGCAGCGCACCGCGGACGGCCGGTGGGAGACGGATGTGTATGCCAACATGGGCCGTGCGCGTGTCATCCCGAAGCAGGAGACGCACCCGGTGTACGTGCACCGGAGCGTGAAGATGCGGATGGAGGCGGAGCGGGCGGCGGGGCGGGTGTATGAGCCGAGGGCGAGGTTTGATGTCGAGCCGACGTGGGTGGCCTAGAGTCGTCGCGGGTACGTGTAGGAGTGTGAGGTTGGGTTTTTCTCGTGACGGGATTTCGGGATGATTTTGTCGCATTTCGCTGTTGTCGCCGCTCAAGAGTTTCTCTTTTTACTGTATATTTTGGGGATAACGGGCTTGTTTGTAGCATTACAGCCATGTACGGCATCTATTCCTGGCATGCCCCTTACTATGAGCGACAAAATTATGCTGCCTCGTGCGTGTGCCCGAGGTATAATTGCTCGCTAGTAAGCGGACATAGATGCTGCCCACTATCGTCCGCATTGCGCAAGACCCACTATTGGCGAAGTGCTTCGGAGAAACCTCGACGGTGTTTTGTCAGCACCGGCCGCTTCTATAACTCGGTAGCGCAAAACATTACTCGGATACGTCTGGGTCATGTCTGGGTCGTCTCCGGAAGTCCATAGTGTTAGTATTGAATCTACTGGGCCATACAAGCGCAAAGGTTGCATGAGAACGATAACGATGATCAAACAAGAATAGACAAGGACGCTGGACATACGATCAGCAAACATTGGTCAATCCGTTTCGCTCTTGGAGTCGTAAGGTAGGGGTCACCAGGAACGGGCACCCCTTATGTAAGCAGACGCCTGCCGACAACAACGGCCGTAATGACGACGACACCATGGAAGATTTCAGGATTTGGGCCTGTAGGAAGTGTTGTCAGAGCTTGTAGCTACAATTCCTATTCAACAGAATTCAAAAATGTTGCCATATAGTGAAGTTATAACTTGATTTATCTCAAATGTACCAAACACATTTTCTCGCCGAGTTGCGCTGTCTGGCGAGGTTTGGGTTTCTGAGAGGCCGCGATTTTGCGCGGCGCTTAATGGGCGCTTACCAAGAAAGGCAAGAGCGGGAGACAGGATATGCCCTGTCAACACACCAGATTGGCTTGTACAGTCATTATACACACTTAATCTCATTAATTTGCTATGGTTAGACCATCCAGGCAGCAGCTTTCACGTCTTAA